CTGGTATATGAGGAATCAATTTTCTATATTACATAATCATTTATTTAATGATTCTTTATTCCTCCATGACAGTCTCTTTTCCTAACTCTGTCAAAACTCTTAATGGGACCAATTATTAGGACTGAAAAGAGTCTCTCGACCTTTATTTGGCTATAGCCAACCTTGACTTGGCTCTGAGAACTGAAAAGTCTGACGCTATTACTGACACGTCTACTGAAGCTCAAAAGATCCTTTATGAAAAATGGGAACACTCCAATAGAGTGTGCCTTAAGGTGATATCTTACACTATGGAAAAATCTATAAGACAAAGCATACCAGAAAGTGAGATTGCTAAATATTACTTGAAGTTTGTTGGTGAGAAGTTCACTCGTGTTGATAAGGCTAAGAAGTGTGAGTATCTCTCTCAGTTTGACAAAACTAAGTATGATGGTGTTAGTGGTGTGCGTGAGCATATTATGAAGTTGGTCCACTATTATAATAAGCTTAAACTCTCAAAGTTGAAATTGGTGAGAGCACTTTAATTTGGAGGGTTCTTGAGTCTCTGCCTCCCCAATTTGATGTTATGCGGACCTCCTATAATACTCAGAAAGTTGAATGGTTTGTGGATGTGATGATATCCATAGTAACTCAAAAGGAAGATTCTATGAAAAAGGCAAAGGCTCAAAGTGTTCAGTTTGCTGCTTCTACTTCAGGAACAAAGAATTATAAGAAAAACTTCCATAAGGGAAAACGTCATTTTGATGATAAGAAAGAAAAAGGAACAACACAACATTTGGAGCCTAAGGATAAGTCTTTTAAGAAAAATATCTTTAAAGGAGAGTGCAAGTACTGCAAGAAGTATGGACATAAGGCAGATGATTGTTTTATCTTGAAAAAGAAACTGGAAAAACAAGGGGTTCACAAGCCTGAGGAAACCAAGTGATGTTGAGGCGAAGGTCATTGTGGGAGATGGAGCTAAAGTATCAGTGATGGAGAATATTGTGGTAGATATGATGAGACAGGAAGAAATCCGGGACCGTTTGCTAGATTTCTAGATGAATGTGGTATTGAGGCTCAATACACTATGCCAGGTACTCCTCAGGAGAACGGAGTTGCAGAGAGACGTAATCGCACGCTTATGGACATGGTTAGGTGCATGATGAGTCATTCGTCATTGCCTGATTTTCTTTGGGTGATGCTTTGAGGACTGTTGTCTATATTCTAAATTAGGTGCCTAGTAAATCAGTGTCGAAGACTCCTTATGAACTATTAACAGGAAGGAAGCCAAGTTTGAGACATTTTCATGTTTGGGGTTGTAAGGCTGAAGTCAAACATTACAATCCTCAACAGAAGAAACTTGATATGAAGACTATTAATGGTTTCTTCATCGGATATAGTGTTGGGTCTAGAGGTTGCAGATTTTATTGTCCTTCTCATTCTACACAAGTCGTTGAATTTGATAGAGCAATTTTCTTTAAGGGTGATTTGGATAGTGGAGTCTCTACGCCACAACCAGTTACTCTTAAAGAAGATCGTAGTTTTCTCCCTATACCAACCGTTCCTTTCCATAATGAGGTTGTGATTCCAATAATTCAAAATAATGATTAAGTTGTGTCACCACAAATAGATGAGCATGAACAAATTGATACCCTAGAGCCTATTGGTGTTGCTGAACCAAGTGACATTACTAAAGTTGTTCCATTGAGACGTTCTCTGAGAGTTCGAAAGCCTACAATATCAAATGACTTTGTTGTGTATCTCCAAGAGCATGAGTTTGAAATTCATGATGATGATGACCCTACCACTTTTAATGGAGCAATTTCTTGTTCTCATGCTTCTAATTGGTTGCATGTTATGCATGATGAATTAAATTCTATGTCTCTTAATGGTGTTTGGGATCTCACAGAGTTACCAGTTGATTGCAAGGCCATTGGATGCAGATGGGTTTTCAAAACTAAACGTAATCCTGATGGTAAAATTGATAGATACAAAGCCAGACTAGTGGAAAAGGGCTATAGTCAAAGAGAAAGGATTGATTACAAAGAAACTTTCTCACCCGTCTCTACCAAAGATGCTTTTCGAGTTGTTATGGCTTTGGTTGCACACTTTAATTTGGAACTTCACTAGATGGATGTGAAGACAACTTTTCTGAATGGAGAACTTGTTGAAGATGTTTACATGATTCAACCTGAAGGTTTTATTGAAGCAGGAAAAGAGAAGTTAGTATGCAAACTGAAGAAATCCATATATGGATTAAAACAGGCATCTAGACAATGATATTTTAAGTTTGACAAAGTTGTCACTTCTTTTGGTTTCAATGAAAATGCTTCAGATCAGTGCATTTATTTAAAGACCAGTGGGAGAGATTTTATAATCTTAGTGTTATATTTCGATGATATCCTTCTTGCTAGCACTAGTGTTAGTCTTTTGAATGAGACAAGAACAATGTTAAGTAACCACTTTGATATGAAGGACCTAGGTGATGCTTCTGTTGTTTTAGGCATCCAAATTTTTCGTGATAGGTCACGTGGTGTTCTTGGTTTATCTCAAAAAGGATATATTGAGAGAATCCTTAAACGCTTTAATATGCAGTCTTGCTCCCTGTGCGTTGTTCCTGTCCAAAAGGGTGATAAACTCTCTAAATCTGAATGTCCTCAAAATGATAAAGAAACTGCTGAAATGGAAAGAGTCCCATATGCTTCTGCTGTTGGCAGTTTGATGTATGCTCAAGTTTGTACTCGTCCCTATATTGCATATGCAATTAATGTTTTAGGGAGATACTTGAGTAGCCCAGGATTGGGTCATTGGAAAGCCGTTAAAAAGGTCATGCGATATTTGCAAGGAACCAAGGATTACATGTTGACTTATAAGAAGTCTGATCAACTTCAGGTCATTGGTTATTCTGATTTTGATTTTGCAGGTTGCCCTGACGACCGAAAGTCTACTTCCGGCTTAATTTTTATGATGGCAGGAGGAGCTATTTCGTGGAAGAGTGTTAAACAGACTCTTACAACTACCTCAACCATTGAGGCAGAATATGTAGCTTGCTATGAAGCTACTTGTCAAGCTATGTGGCTAAAGAACTTAATCTCTCGCTTCAAAGTTGTTGAAAGCATATCTAGGCCACTTGTGATATATTGCGACAATTCTGCTGCTGTACATTTCTCTCAGAACACTAAGAGCTCTTCTCGCTCAAAGCATTTTGATATTAAGTATCTATTTGTCAGAGAGAAAATTCTTGAATTTCAGACTCGAATTGAACATCTTGCCACTGAGAACATGTTGGCTGATCCTCTGACCAAAGGCTTGACTGTTGGTGTTTTTCAAAGGCATGTAGCCAACATGGGTGTAGTTAAGTCATTTGATATTTTGGATTAGTGGGAGTCTGATTGTTGCATTTAATTATTATAATGAGATATGTATAAGATGACGTCAATTTAATAGTCATATCTCTTATAGCATTTCAGATGCTTGGACCATTATTGAATTACATATTTCTACATTATATTATGTTAATTCATATTCATTATCGTTATATGAAATGTGGGTATTTGAAATGTGTGATTTGTTTCCCTATCGGATACAATTTATGCATTGTTAAATTTTGTGCCTTCTCACATTATTTTGATGATAAGTGGTTGATATATTTGGTTATTATAATTGTGTTATTTTAATAATTAATTAAAGTCATTCAAGTGGAAGAATGTTAAATCTATAATGGATTTACTTTAATTAATTATTTTATTTTATATATATAATTATTATATCAATTAACATTTACTTAATTAAATGAATATTGTATTTGGCTTAATTGTTGAATGACTTGTGATGGGTTGGGTCATTCGCTGAGAGGTCCCTTCCCTCGTCTGGTGGTTATATATTTGATTATCCCATTAGGTCAGATAATTAAGCGTAACCGTTCCATCAGAAAGAGGGATTCAACCATGACAGGTAGGCTATATGATTAGTTTTTCCATCATAGAAACCACGCATCCTCGCTTTTTGCTTTATTTTGCTTCACATATAACATTAGCAACATCTCTTCATTATCATCAAGCTCAACATAATTTGCTTATTTGTCTAAACTAGGACACTCATTAAAAATGTCTGAGTATGTGACATCTATAACATTTAACAATAGATTTGTCGAAGGCATGCCGTCCTCTGCCTCCCCCTCTTCCTTCACTTGATCTATTCTCATGCCTTACTTTCAAGGCTTGCTCTTCCACATCATACTTATGAAACTTTTGCTCGTGAACCATTAATGAACTTTGCAAGTATAAATTATCAATATCCTTTAACTCCTCAATAGAGCAAACAATGTAATTAAATTAAATTTTTCTATTAAAGATCGGAGTATTTTCTCCACATCTGTAGTATCTACCTTTCGTTCACCAAATGCCCTCATTATATTAACCATTGACATTACTCTTGAAAAATAATCTGAAACATTATTTTATCAGGCCAAATGGAGGCTCTAATACCAGAATGTTAGGAACAAGAACTCGATGAGAAGAAAATGAAAATCTGAAAATGACTTGTTATCGAGTGAAATAATTAAGGCTATCTAGTGAAATAATTAAGGCTATCTAATAACCTTTACAGTCCTAAAATAAAGAGAGTCACGATCTTGCTAGCTAAAAAGTTACCGTTAACAAAAGAATGAGACAAAAAGACTAACTTAGTCACAATCTAATTTCTTAAATAGTAGGAATCATTATAACAGAAAATACACTTAAAATATAAATTTTAATGCATTGAGGTTACAGAACTTCAGCACACAATCAGATTGTTTTGCAGTATCTCAGATTTTACTAGAAAAAGTGTCAGCTGTCAAAGAAACATAAACTATTTATCCATCATTTCATGAATTAAAATATAGTGATACATGACTGGTTGAGAAGTATCTCTATTGAAAATGGAACTTTAATAACAAAACTGGAAATATAAATAAGATACAATGGGAAAAAACAATGATAATTCTTAACAATTATAGGCCTCCATCACTGAACAATGACTGATCATTTACTTGGTTTTGATCGTTTCTTTTTTTGTTTCTTGTATTGTTCATATAGCTGAAGTGATTGTGCAGTCTTATTCAACTTACTTCTCAACCTTTCATTCTCCTTGATCTCATGAAGAATCATGAAATGGGAACTAAATTTCCTTCGCAAATCATCCTCGTCGAATGAACTTGTTACTGTTGTGGAACCAATGGTATCTGATGTAGCATTGCCATTTGATCGTCTTTTCTTGTTGTTTAATTTTATACTGCCACTTTGTTCAAAACATAGTTCTTGGTCAATAGACATGTCCTTGAAAGCTAGTTGAGGAGACGACTTGGAGAGAAACACTTGGTTTTGTTCGGTGCTCATGCTTGAAAGGCCTGTTGCCATCGTCGATATGGCCGGATGATAGTGTTTGGACAAAAGACTCAGTTCCCAAAGTACAGAAGCAAGGGCACCGCTTAAAATAGGATCTGTTGAATATGGTAGATATTTCTGCATTAAGAGGAAACAGAAATAAATGGTTTTAGTCCACAAAGCTGACATAAAAGATTTGTTTCATAAAAAATCTTACAATCAAAATTCAATCAACCATTTGACATATTTGAGATTTGATATAAACCCGTGACCCAACAATTTTTGTTTCAAAAATAATGATTTCCACACAACAAAATTTTATTTATATATACAAAATAAAAAAAATAACTTCAGGCTGATGCAAAAAACTATGAAAGCATTTCTCACACTTTTCTCCCTTCCTTTATATCATGTTCTTCCTTGTCATTATTATTTACTTATGAAAGCATTTCTCACACTTTTCTCCCTTTATTTATATCAAGTTCTTCCTTGTAATTATTATTTACTTATCTCTAAACAAAGATGTTTCATGCTTAGTATATCATGTTTTTGAGCTAAGCATAATTCTGTTTTGTTATTAACTACTCATACAACCTGGAAAAACAATAATAGCATGTTTCCAGGACACACTAGAGCATAATACTAATAACACAATAATAGCATGTTTCCAGGACACACTAGAGCATAATACTAATAACAGCAATGTTATTTGGTACAAGCATTTCTTTCATGGAAAACACCGATTGGGTCAAAAAGCTGCAAGACATACAAAGTCAAACCTTCTGGCGGGAAAAAAGGGAGCATGGGAAAGAAAGCATGAAATGTTTGTTCTCGTGTAATATTACACGGCATTTTCCAATTAACAATTTAATTCTACATTAAAAAGAAACAAATCTATAAAGGTAATACATTGTTTTGGTGTAGCTTTTTTTTTTCTCCAAATTTACCCTTTTTAATTTTTATTTTTATTTTTTATTTTTTCTCACAATGGCGGTTACGCGACGGTTTATTAACCGCCAACAGTTTATTATTTTTCATATCATTATCTTTAACTATTTTATAAATAATTTATAATTAAATTAAAATTAGATAATCTATCTATAACTATATATAAAATTTTTATTAAATGATGGTAGTTATTTTGAATTGTGGTAACTCTATAACTCTTAGAGTTGTTGTTTTTTTTTATAGATAAACTTCTCAAGGTGTGATGCATAACATAAATACAAATTTATAGAGAGTAAAAAAAACATATTCATTTAATGTTTCATCCAATAATTCTTCATAATTTATAGTTTGTGGGTGGTTAATAATTTGCTTCTTTGTCATTGTTTGTATTAGAAGTCCTGTGGAAGTTTCTTTGTCATTGTTTGTATTAGAAGTCCTGTGGAAGTTCCAATGTTTGCTTCTGTGTTGTTTTTGTATTAGAGAGCAACATCAAGATTGAAACTAATTCATGCTTATATTCTCGGTTTTATTACACTAGCATTCCATCGTCAAAAGAGGTAATTTTGAATTTCAAAGATAACTATTTCAAATAGCATAGTTTTTTTTGTCTATTATATATTTTAAGAACAATAAAGAGAAAAAAACAAAGTTTCCTATTAATTGTTTACTGGGAGAGGTTTTCATTAATATTCAAAGGAATCTAAATTTAAATTTTCCTATTAATTTAAATGAATGGAATATTAACGTCATTGGATCATCCATGTAGGATGCTTAATTCATTAATCATCATTAATTTTTTACAACTATTCCAATTTACAATCCCAATCCAAATTGAAATGGATGGTTCTCTTGCTTTTCCATTTAATTTTTAATAGGTAAAGAAAGTGTAACATAGTGAATTGATTAATGGTTATATAAGAAGATTTTTTTTAAAGTGGAGTGAATCTCTATAAATGTAGAAGATCATATTTTTGAAAAATAAATACAAAACGGAAAAAAAAAAGGTCTGAAAGAAGTTATGAGTGTAAGAGAAAGAAAATGAAAAAAAAATGGTATAATCATTATAATTGTATGTTAACGAAAAAAATGGTAAATAATCATTATGCCTGTTTAAATGTTATGTAAATAATTTAATTTAAGATCAAAATTAAATTAAAAAATATGTTTATGTTTTAACACATGTGTATACTAAAAAGGCGAACAAATGAGTTTTTTTGTTTTAAATATAAATTGTATTTAATATTTGTAGGTAATTGATAAATATATATCTATGTTTCTGTATTAGTGCAATAATAGTTAATATTAAACTGATAATTTTTACATACACATACTGTAACAACAAATGTCAAAATAAGTATTTATTATATCAGTATATAATTTCAAAAAAAATATTAAATTGGGTTTAATAAAAGTTTCATATAAATAATTTATATTAAAATTAATATAAATAATTAATATTAAAATCAAACTTATAAAAAAATAAGTTAGTTAATATTTTCACGCGTTAGCGCAATAAAAAAAAAGCGGACAAACGGAGTGCCCGTTTGGACGCTAGTAATATATAAGTAAAATAAAAGTTACTCAAATAGTTAGGTATAATAACAATCCAGTGGCACATAAGCATCATCTTAGGTTTATTATTTTCGCATTGCCCCTTTTATTTACTTAAAGAGTTAAAGAGATTTACAAGGAATGAGGAATATAGGCACTCATGTTTTGGCATACCCCTTTTATTTTCTTATTTCTTTTATTATGAATCTTCATGAGAATATCTAAAGGGCGACAATCTCATTGTACATCCATCTTTTCTGTATTTAGTTAAAATTTCTTCTTGCGTAAATTAGAGGAGAAAAAAGAAAAACCGTAGAGAAGATGAATGTGCCTTTTAACATAAACCAAAAATACATGAAAAAGGCAATCTTACCGGAATTGTGCCAGAAACAGAGCCCCCTCCAGTGTCATTTTCCAACAAATTTCTGCACTTGATATTTTTCAGAAGGAGGTGCTTTACTGTGACCAAGGCTGAAACAGGTACAAAGAAAAACTACATATTAAATTTCTCTCTCTTTTCTTTTTATTTTTATTTGTTTCCCCCTACGCTTAGGCTCCGAATGTAAATAGCACATATGAAGATGAAAATTGATATAAGAATATTAAAACATACCTGCCATAGAATCTGCAGATCCAACACTCAATGACAATGTAGCCAGACGTTTTATAAATGCAGCAGCTTTTTGCATGTCATGCTGCCTATCGTCACACAGCATTATCTTCAAAGCCTCTGCTAACACCTCTCCTTGATCTCTGTTGCATAAAAATGAAAGATAAATTAAGAATAAGAATTAAAGCTAAGTAGTAAAAGAAAAAATAAACAGAAGTGCTTTAATATAGATATGTACTATTACTGTATATATTCAATACAGTATAATACAAGCATTCAGAATAAAGTGAACTCATATGTTGTATTCTGTCACATTACAACTTTCTAAAAAAATAAAAAAAAACTACTCTAGTAATTAAAAGCCTTATGATAATGAAGACTTCTACTAATCGTAAATCTTTAATAGTGCAGTCTGTTGTTATAATTATCACTACTATATACAAATACCATGAATGCGTTGTATTTATAATCTTTAGTCTTTAATAGTGCATTCTGTTATAATTATCAATACTATACTATATATGAATACTTGTGTAAGCAAACTAAAATGCAAAACCACATCAAACAAATCCATTGATAACATATTGGTCAGTTGAGAAAAGAAAGGACTTCAGGATGTTGTATTTTAATGCAAACCTTCCAGGCCTGTATTCAAGTAAGAGATTGTAAAGATGGACAGTGAAGTCCTGTAAATCAACATTCAAGGCATCAAGATTGGTTCTCATCACTTTAAAAGCAACGATGCAACATTGGAGGCGTTCAGATACGGTCAGACATTTAGTAAACTTCTCAGATGTGTTGCCTGAGTTTCTACCTCCAGAAGCAAGAATTTTCAAATGGTTCATTAGGTCACCCAGGAAATCAAGGTCAATCAAGTGTGCGAATTTCGCCAGTCCCTTCAGACAAGGATCAAGCAATGGGTGGGGTTCCCCCCCCACTGCAGCCGAAAGTACCCCAGGGTTTCCTTCAGGCCTGTTAAGAGAGCAAGGGAAAATTAGAAACCAGGACAATAGAATTGACTAATTCTCCTCCAAAATGTATCTAAAAGTTGAACACAGACAAAAAGTGAAAGTGACAAAAATTTAAGCATGGGAAAAGACATAAAAAAAAATAATAAATTAAAACCTACCAAAAACCAGCCCTATTCCACTAAGTGGGATGGTTACATTGATCAACAAAAAGTGAAAGTGACAAAAATTTAAGCATGGGAAAATACATAAAAAGAAAAGAAAATTAAAATCGACCAAAAACCAGCCCTATTCCACTAAGTGGGATCAGTTACATTGATCAAATTACACTATAATGTTCTATCAAAGACCATGTTTCTATCCAACTCATTAATCTTGAGATTTTTCTTAATATTTTCTCTTAATAGTGTCAGTGTCCAACACTTATATGACACTCGTAGGACACATGTCAGAAAAGTCATATAGGTGTCCCTAAAACAATGTGTTTATCTTTGCTTTGACATTCTTTAAATCGGTGTCCGACACTCGTATGACACTCATACAACACGTGTCAAAAAATTCAGACAAGTGTTTCAAAAAGAAATTGTTTTTTCTTTGATTCAACACGCTTTACATTTTTTGGACTTGTTATCCTCTATGAAGCACAAACATCTCTAGAGTAAGTGTGTCGTAGTGTCCGACACTTGTATGACACTCGTAATACATGTGTTAGAAAGGTCAAACAATTGTCCCTAAAACAATGTGTTTTTCTTTGCTTCGACACTATAAATTGGTGTTAGACACTCATATGACACTCATACACACGTGTAGGAAAATCCAAAAGTGTATCAAAAATATATTTTTTTTCTTTCATCAATCAGCATTTTTCAAACAAATTTGTATTGAAGCAAAGTTATCAATTAAGAATTAAAGACATTTTGATTGAAATATGTTTAACTCTTTTAAAAGTAAATGGATAAATGAAGCTCAAATACTATCATATATGTAGTGGTGTCGGTGTTCAATATCATTATCAGTGTCGAAGTGTCTGTGTTGTGTTTGGGTGTCCATGTCGGAGTCTGTGCTTCATAGGTTATCTTATTAAATGGGCAACTGGAATTACAAACCCATTAACATCCATGTCTCATAGTAACAATGGATGTCAAACTCGCGAGTCTAACTTGTACAGGTTTAAGAGTCTAGGAGGCCAAAACTTAATTGACTCGCTCGTATTTTCGAGGTAGAGTCGCACAGACTGGCGAGTCTGACTCGTGTAGAGTCCAAAATAGTGTTTTTTTTACTGTTTTGTGTTGCTCTGTTTCTTTGAAGCAGTGTTATATATATTCATTTTTTAAAGTCATCAACATATATATTTAATGATTAATGATTTATGATTTTTTTGTTTTATATAGTAGGAAGGATCGAGGGCCTTGTCTACATACTTTGCTTGCTTTAGTATGGAGTCTTTTTTTTGTAACATTTTCATTATGGAGGAGCTTCACTTGGTATTTTTATTTTAATTGGTTTTCTATTGTGTATATGTGTCATTTATGTAACATTTGCAAGGTCGCTTTATTTTCCATAGACTCACAAGTTTGAGTCGAGTCTATAAATCAAGTTTGTGAACTCTTCACAAGTCTACGTAGACTCTCGGGTCTGACAACCTCACACCATTGTTATTGATGGCGGACCAAGGCGGAGAGCCAAAAATCCAACATAAAGCCCAACATATGGCACCATGGTGGAGAGCCAAAAATCCAACATAAAGCCCAAGACATGGCACATGGCAAAGAGCCAAAAATCTGACATAAAACCCAACATATGGCACCATGGCGGAGAGCCAAAAAAACCACCACTGGTACCCACATGGCACCGTCATAACTGATATTCAACAACACTATTAAAAAAATCAAAACACACCTGGCAACTATGGACTGCATTGTATTCTTCAAAATGCGAAAGTACGTCTCAAATACAGCAGAGAGTGTTTGTGTTTGCATCTGTCTCTTCTCTGTAGCATCCAAGGTAAAGGAAGCAGCCTTGTAATCAGCTTCAACCTACAACAAGCATCAGTAGAATTTCATTTCTACCATCAACCAAAACATCCAGAACAGAGTGATTCTTATAGGAAAAATAATCACCTCCTCTCTTGTCTTAGAAATCGACTCTTTCCTACTTTTCTTTCTGTCATTTTCCGGCAACTGATTTGATCCCTCCATGTGTTTTCTTTTCTTATCTTTCTTGTTTTTATATTTCTGATCCCTATCTGTCTTTTCTGACTTCCCAAGATCCTCATCAAATGATAGAGACAAGAAAACCTGAATAAGCATTGAAAATAACAAACATCACTTAACAGCTTTATGCACAGTGAAATATTCCACATCAAATAAAATGAGTTCCACTCAAATAGCATCATGATTTCATTTCATCGCACTAAAAAATGTGTCAGAGTAACCTTAATTGAAAAACAGAAGATTGACGAGTATAGACATCCAATAAAACATTTTAAAATAAGATAGAAGAGCATGGTTTCGCAGTTCGTTATTTATCCCAAAAGAGGGAAAGGAAACGATCACATGGAACTTGTATCATACCTCAAGGGAATCAGGGTGCAGCTGGCAATTATGATCTTTAACCTGATACGAAATCAACCGCACAGCCTCCACAGTAGCTTCACCACCATGTTTACCCTCATTTGTAAAAAGTGACTTAATTGTGGAACAGCAAAGTTGTCTGTTAAACAAAAACAGAATTTTTTTAAGATACACAATTGTAAGTACAAGTGTATAGACAAACACAGAAACAGAAAACAGTTCATTATTCATATGCGTTATATGAGCAAACAAGACTGAGATTTTTTGGTCTTTAGACCCTCAATATAAAGAAGAGACATTAAATATCGGCCAATCTTAGTTGAGCCGTGTGAAATAAGAAATCCCACCATACCAGCCGCTTTGCGGCGGTTTTGTAGCGGAAAAACTCACAGTATTGGCCAATATTTACTATATAAATAACCTCCATCAATGGCATGAACTTAGTTCCATTTAGAAAAAATGAAAATATTTTTCGATGCATTTATAAAATCAAATGGAAACAAATGTGATTGCTACGCTATTCCACACTATTGACAATTTATATAGAGTATAGACAAGTTTTATCTAGACTTGAACTACACAAGGCAGTTTAGCATTTTAGTCCACCAAAAAGCCAATTACCCTAGATTTTTCCCTTATGCCCTAAATGGCAGCATAGTTTCCCTTTCTGATGATGGATTCTTCAACCTAAAATTTGAACATATATGAAACTAAAATTCATGCTCTTTCATAAGAAATCCCCTAAAATACTTGAGAAACCATAATATAATAATGACCAATGCAAAGATACAACTGCACCTTATGGCATCATTACTGGAGCTTATGTTTCTGATAGTCGCATTCAACAAGGTTTCACGAAAGTTGAAATGAGGATTTGATTCAAGCAAAGAACAAATACAGCGAACTGCGACAAGCTGAAATAAAGGCTGCTTTTCTAAGGCTATCAACCTTTGCAAGTAAGCCTGATGACATTGCATGAATAGAAAAAAAAAAAAAGGAGAAAAAAACATGTTAGTGCATAAATATAGTCAAATTCACACTCAAAAACTAATTTTAAACAGGCTATCATAAAAACTTTGACCAATTGGGAAGAAGTTCAAAGACAAGACAAAAGCACCAATGCGAAGCACTGGAACAGAAAAACATATCTAACAGTAAAAAACCATTTCAGCTAAATCAAGTAATAAATTTAATTTACATATAAGTTAAGCATGAACAGGAACCTTGTATGCAGAGAGGAGAGTTGATTCATAAAAACGCATCTTTTTAATAGTCTTTGAAACCTTCATTTCTTGTTCCTTTTCAGTAGGAAGCCTAATTCGATAGCTGGGCATTGCATGCATTGATGTCAAAGTTGAAACATTAAAAATAGAATTAGTGAAATGCAGACTATAATATCATTGCATACAGAATGAGCGTTAAAATATATGACAGTCAGGCATACCCAGGAATAATATCTCTGAAAACAGCCAAGAGGGATAGAAGTCCAAGTTTAACAATGGTGCGATCATTATCTTTAGATAGCTGCACCATCTCCTTCAGATCTTTAATATTGGACTCTGGGTCTGTTAACAAGGCATTTCCCAACTCTGCAAGCTTAAACTTTTTACTTTCAAATGCCTCTTCAACTTTAAGATCTTCTTCAACCTCAGCCTAAACAAGGAAAAGATGACAAATTATGTAAAATATTGAGTTCAATGACTTCTAGTTCTAGTCCTCTCTAAAAGTTAGCAGTTCAAGAGAATTATAAGAATTTGTAAAGTCAGAAAATAAGAGATAGAAAGAAAAAATGAGACTCGCGAGAGACTTTATATTGCATGAGAGGTGCAGAGACTCTATTTAAAGAGTACTTCAATAGAGACAAAACAATATAACAGAGTAAGTCATCTGCCTCGAAAGTGGTGTTGTTGAATAGTGGCAATGGCGGCTCCATGGTGGACTGATGTGATTGATTTTGTGCCAGCCACCATAGACAATATGTTGAGCGCTCACTGGCAGCACCATAAGGTCGCAAATCCCACGTTTCTATGGCAGAATTTTGGTCATCCCCCAGTAACAAGATTGCTTGACAGGTAATTAAACTGTACAGTAAGCAGTGTTGTTAAATGGAGGCCATAGCCGAATGGTGTAGCAGATTTTTGACAACCGCCATAGACAATTTGTGAGATGCCTGCCACGGCAGCACCATAGGCCGCAATGGCATATTTATACCGCATATTTTTGTCCTTCTGCCATCGACAACACAGAGTTGACTATTTTAAAAATCAAAAGTGAAACAAAAACTTGTGTTGACCTATGACTATATCAAAAATCAAACGTGAAACAAATATTATTGTCTTGCTCAATCCCACGTTAACAAATCAAAATGGACCCTAAAAATAAACAAAATTAAATTAATATTCTTAAGCAAATTAGGTAATACCAAAGCTGCTGCTTGTGGTGCTTCTTCCACTTCTTCTTTCGCCACCTCTTTGTCTTGTTTTTTCCCCTCTTTCCTAATTTTCTTAAGCTTGGCTCTCTTTTCAGCCTTAGTTAGCTTAAAAAAACCTTTGTCTGCATTGCCGTCCTCTCCAGCTTCCTCTTCACTTGGACCATTTACTGCTGCTGTCTTTGTAGCTGCAGAATGTAAGAACAGCATACGTTACCAAAGAAAGTAATGACAAATGACAATAATGCACAAAATCTATACAAGAAAACACCATATACCTGTCCGAAAATAGATTTTTCCATCCAAAGTCTTGACTGGAAGAGCATCTACTCGATCAACCTGCAGACCTGTTTCTTCTTTTTCTTTCTTGAGAGCATTCCTTTGCATACGTTGCTCATACAGTTTCTCCAAAGCCTCTTCTTTCGCATCAGCAACCCGTGTAACATGCCTTGCGAAAAACAAAAATCATATACCCTATGTCAGCCAAACTCACAACTATAATATGCACTCAATATAAGTGATTCTCAGAAAAAATTTGTAATTGGTCCAATTTATATAAACATCTTAATTAAACACTTTTAGCATAAGCTGGTAAGCGCTTATCAGAAAAGCGCTTATGTATAAGCTATGTTGCATTGCAGTTTAGATAATATAATAAGAATGAAAGGATAATTGAAAAGGGGGATGGAAGAGAGATTCCGAACTTGGTGATTGATTGAGTGTCCAAAGTGGAAAGCAAAGAAGCGAAAGCGCGATTTTCCTTAACGAATTTGATGTCGTCGTCGGAATACTCAACTTCATCGTCTGGGATCTCCGGTGGGAGGTCCGGCGGGAGAACGATCTTCTGCTGCTTCTGTTTCTTACCCATTTGTTAGGGTTGGTTGGATGAATGAAAGAAGGGTTTAGTTTAGGGTTTATGAGATTCGCAGACAATTACTCCCTCTATGGGTGTCGACAAAACAAACTATTATTTTATCAAAAATAAATATATCATTTACTCTCTCACCATAAAATAATTTTTTAAAAATTCTAATTATCCCAAATGTTTCGAGTGTGTATTTGTCCTTCAGTTATTTATTCAAAATGTTTCGAGTGTGTTAGTCTAACAGAGTCTTTTAGCTATTTATTCAAAATGTTTCGAGTGTGCCTTATATTATATTTGATGGATCATTACAAGGGAGAAACATTTTATATTGAGTCAAACATTTATCTAAAGGTGAAAGACTCGGTCAAATAAGTGAGAGAGATACCACATATTCATCCAAAATTTTAAGGTGATAGGTGTATATGTCTTGTTACTTATAAAGTGTTCAACCTCAACTTTTCTAAGCAATGTGGGACTTAGAATTCACACTTGTTTCTTAACATAACTCACACTTGTTTCTCAACACAAAGTTATTTTGAATCCTCAAATTTTTAGTAAAATACAAACTTTCAGATGTTAATTGGCAAAGACATATTTTTCATTTGACATTTTGTAACCAATTTGAAGGTTTATCATAATTCTTCAAACTTCTAAGAAACTAGTTGTTATTTGTTTTAAAACATTCATCATTCTTAGTGGGGAGCATCATGATAGTGAACGAAGTTCTTTGATTTCCAAATTTTGACAATTTGATATGCATTTTTCAAAGTTTCCCTTCTTTTACAATGTGTCACTCACATTCTGATCGTGGTTGCGAAACTACCTATAAAAGTGGGATTTGCAATTCTATTTGTTTTTTTAGGTAAAGGGGACAATGTGACCTTTGTTTTGCTAATGTCTACTTCAACACCATTTTCCTGAATCAGGTCCCATAAAATATCCATGGATGTTCAAATAAGTTTGGCATCGAGTAATCTTTTGATCTTAATTTAAATCTTCGAGTTGATCTCAAATGCTAATATATTAGGGGGTTGTTTGATTGGTTTTTTGTCAGCTTTAAAGGTAACATGTGATCCACTAGCTTTCAATTTAACCATGTCATATCATTATATTCATATGCAAATCAATCTTTATATCCGTGAAAATTTTAAATGATATTTTGCTTTAGGTTCTCATCTAACAAAGAACTTACATGTGGGTTTAGGCTTCGTTATTACCTCTACAAAGTTAATATCTTATAGTGGGTCTTACGCTTTGATTTTTCTCGCTTTGTCAGACCATTCATTACCGAATCCTAATGGTGAATCGTCAATATTGCAATCTAAGATGTGATTCAAAGGTGTTACTTATTTTTCTTCTTTTATTGGAACTTTTATATGATGTAATAGGGATGTTTTCATGTCATCCCCTCAATCTTCTTTTGTTTTACGGTTGAGTACCTTTTTTGAACTTACTATTTCTGGGTAATTTAGTGTATCGTCTTTTCTTTGATGTTGGATACATAGTATATTTCTTTAGTTTCAGTTTTCGAGGTCGTCCTTAATTTTTTTTTTCTGCATAAGCCATTTTTCGAGCAAAGAAACTTCAAGTTCTCATGGAAGCACACACTCGTTAGTTGAATCAAGACCTTCTTCTTTTACTCAATTTGAAGTTTAGTTGTGGCTTCAATGTAACTTCACTAGCTTGTTAATTTTATAAAAATGTATGCACTATTATTTGGTTGTTTTGATCTTTCAAGGTCCAACATTTTGGCATGTTTCTTCCAAAATTCTTTCATTCACTGCTTTGAAAGTTAATTCATCAACTTTTATATATTTCAGATAACCTTCTTCATTTGATGAACTGTAGATGTTACCACTCCCGCAATATGTATCCATTCTCGTCCATTTTCGAATGTGCCATTATGAACCATTGTTAACCTTGTGACTGATCCCACATTCAATTTCAAACCAATCACACCATTTGGCTTCAAAGTTTTGCCACTAAAATCAATTATTAACATGTCATGTGGAACTAGGTATTCTTTTGCCGTGTTCAATATTTTCATCATGGACATAGGCGTGATATTTTCAACAACTTATTTATCCACCAATACTTGATTCACCTTGATTCTTTTTTCTTCTTCAACTTTCACAAAAATAGGTGACTTTTCATCTTCTCAATTGATTTGTCGAAGTGTGTTTAATTTCATAAAGATTTGTAGATATCCATTAGAATGTGAGTAATCATACTTGACTCTTCTTGTTATTTATTGAACTTTTCCTCCGTAGCATCAAGTCTCGTAACATCTCAATTTATTACCAAAGACATTACTTAGAAAGTCACATTTCTTTTAAAATTGCAACTATTTTTTTAAAATGTTTTTACCAAACTTTTTAACCCATTAAATTATATGATATTCGTTAAGCTTATATTTATTTATTTTTGGTAAAACGGAGGGCTTAAGCCCAAACAAAACACTATACCACGACTAGTCGGGAAACTAAATTCCCAATATATCATCATCTAGGGGATGTCTCAAACAAAGAGGGCACTCCTCAACACAATTATCCTTCTATAAGCTAAATATCAGTCTTCGTGATCATATTTGCACGTTGGTTTTCTTCTCTATAAATATGATGAATCTAGACCTCCCATTCCAACCCTATGAAGGTTTTTGTGAAATAGAGTTATGCTTGTCCTTGGTTATAGTTTTGGTGAAGACAAACTCATCAACAAAAAGAAGAGTCAAAACTTGAAGACTAGAGCAATCAAGTTCAAATTATCAAAAATCTTTGGAAAATTAATGGAAGAATCAAGATGGTTGAATATGCATTACAATTCAAGTATATGTGTGTGTGTGTGTGTGTGTGTGTGTGTGCGCGTGTATATATATATATATATATATATATATATATATATATATATATATATATATATATATATATATATATATATATATATATATATATATATATATATATATATATATATATATATATATATATATATATATATATATATATATATATATATATATATATATATATATATATATATATATATATATATATATATATATATATATATATATATATATATATATATATATATATATATATATATATATTAATTTCTCATAAAAACTATGCATATTCATCTTAAACCATTCATGAATCTTTTAAAATGATTTTTAAATTAATTGTTCTATTTTTGGTAAATTATGGCATTTTAAACAGTCGTATTAACACTTTAAAATCGCCATAATTTTCATTTTTTGAGGTAACCGGTTACATGAACATATTTTTTGAAAAATAAGTACGTTTCCTTTGAAATAACTGGTTACATGGTGAGGTAACCGCTTATATCACTGAACCAATGCTATTTTAAAAAAAATATTGATTTAAACATGTTATATTTTTACACCTTGAATCATTGCATTGCTTAGACATTTTATACCCTTTCTAACAGGTGTAATGCTCTTATAAATACCATCATTTTAAGATTTCAAAACTCATGTCTCTTTCATAGCAATTCAAGACTCATATTTTCTCATTTTTAAAATCAAGTATTCTTGACATAACCTTTTGTCGAAAGTTTTGCACATCAATTTCACTACATTTTCAAATAGTTTCAATTACATAAATAATTAAGAACTTGTACTAAATATTAAAAATTGCCTACTTGATAGAGAAGATTAATTCTAGGAATTTATATACATTATTATACAACTTCAAACACTTGTAAAAATTCAGATTGTTGTGATTTCCTTGTTGTCCAGGATTGTTTGAAGCAAGATAGTGAATAAGGGATGATTGTTCTCTTGTTGCACTTTGTAAAGATCATAATGGGATTGTCCTTATTTATTGTATTGCTTATGTTATAAGATTGTAAGGTACATCTTGGTGGAAGACTTGTACAAAGATCTGACATAGTGAAAATCTCTCACAGGGAGTGAGGGGGACTGGAGTACTATCAAATTATGAGGGGAACCAGGATATATCTTTTTGTCTTTTACTTTTTGCATTTATTTTTAAGCATATTTATTTTCATATCATTTCTGAAAAATAACAAAACTAGTGCTAATGCTTCAAATTGAGAAAAGTCCAATAAATCTAATTCACACCCCTCTTAGAGACCGCACATAAACTTACAGCTTTAATCTTGCTTATTAATGCTCTTCAATGGGGTTACCAAGCTTGCTATTATGAATATCCTTTACTACCTCCATCGATTTAACATTGATCCCAATAGCTTGCGCACCAATCCTTCTATCAATCAAAAGACTTTCATACATCCTATAACTCTACCATTAAAACATTACAAACCCTAGCTTTTTAGAAAACCTTCATATCCATGTGCTATTGTTATCCTTAATAACTCCTCCACACCCTACACGACCATCTTCTAAACAAGCAACATTTTAATTTAACTCTACCCATCCCCTTAGATGAGGATTCCATATGATTAAAAGAATATCTTGTGTCGATTTAGTAGTTATGAGGGCCATTCTATATGCACTAGCATAATCCAGAACATGCTTATTTATCATTTCATATAGATTATTCAACCAGTAATAATTTTCCTCGTGATTCTCCTTGTTACGCCACATCCAAATGCCATGACACGCCATTGCCCAAAACGCCTTTAAATCTTCTTCTTCCTTCCACTCCAGTTTTTTTTATCATATTCGCATTCAACCATTGTTTTGAGTATCCTGAAAATAAATTAATTTTCTACTTAACTTTCATGACCCTCATCCACAACGTCATTACTAGTTGGCAATCCCTCAAAATGTGCAAGATATTTTCCTCAACATTCATGCAATACTTACACATCAGTAAACCCACCCCTATGCAATTTTTTTATTTATTTGTGAGAACCCTATTATATTGAAGTTGACATATGAAACATCTAACTCTCTCCGGAACTCACAGCCACTTCCACTTACTGTTTGTATTGATATAATGAGTATTATATAAATTGGAGTACATTATAGAAACTACAAATTCTTTGTCGTCATC